ATACAGGAAATTTGATTGAAACCTGACTTTATTTTATGGTTCCTGCTGAAATTGAGTCTGAGAGGAAAGTGGGGTTTTAGACTTTTACAGACTTTAGAGCTGCAAAGAGACCATTATAACCATCAAGGTTGACCCCCTGCATAACATAGACCATAAGATTTCAGACAACAATTTTTGCTTCGAGCCCCAAATGGATCTGGTTAGACTCCTTCAGCTCTGGGATTTGCTGTGAGCAGTGGATGCTGCTCAGCAAACTCAAATTGTGGATGGGAGGAGGAGGGGGCTGTGTGTTATGTATTTTACTGGATTTCTGTGTGCTGATGGAATTTGACTCGCTTCCCCCCAGTGAAACAGAAAACGAGAGGCCTGGGGTAAATCTGATGCCTGAGTTTTGTGTAAAGGTTGGAAATGTAGGAATAAACCCAAGTTATCTTGGTGATCCAAGAAAACACAATTCCTGTGCTCGTATCAAAGGGCAAATCCAAGACCACCCGTGTGCTGGGCTGCACCCAGAGCAGGGTGGGCAGAGGGCGAGGGGTGGGGAGGGGATTCTCCCCCTCTGCTCCGTGAGACCCCCCTGCAGGGCTGGTCCAGCTCTGGGGGCACCAACAGCAGGACACGGACCTGCTCGAGCGGGGCCAGAGGAGGCCACAGAGATGTTGGGGGGGGCTGGAGCCCCCCCTGTGAGGACAGGCTGGGAGAGCTGGGGGGTTCAGCTGGTGGAGAGAAGGCTCCGGGGAGACCTTAGAGCAGCCCCCCAGGGCTGAAAGGGGCTGCAGGAACGGGGGGAGGGACTCTAGATCAGGGGGGTAGGGGTGGGATGAGGGGTGACGGTTTTAAACTGACAGAGGGGAGATTTAGATCCGATCTAAGGCAGAAATTCTTCCCCGTGAGGGGGGTGAGGCCCTGGCACAGGCTGCCCAGAGAAGCTGTGGCTGCCCCCTCCCAGGGAGGGTTCAAGGTCAGGCTGGACGGGGCTTTGGGCAACCTGGGCTAGTGGAAGGTGGCCCTGCCTGGGGCAGGGGGTGGGACTGGATGGGCTTTAAGGTCCCTTCCCACCCAAACCATTCTATGACTCGCACCTAGTGCAGCCGCAATAACACTGACCCGGGGGGAATTTCATCCTTGTGTATTTCAGGGCCTGATCTCTCCTTCCTTTTGGAACAAGAGGGGCTATTTCTGGGTTTCCCTGGCTTAAACACTGCTGCTGAGGTGATAAGAGTGCTGAAGTAACTTCTTTACTGGCAGTCCTGCTTGGTCAGACCTGGAAGCATCACTGTCCTCAGGTGACTGCACTTGAGTAAGAGCTACGGAAACCAAACTCTCCTCTCTGGAAGGTGAATCCGTCACAGTTCAGCTGGGGAGGGTAGGATTTGGAGAACTTATTTTCAAGCCCCGCAAGTGCTTAACTGATAGTCTTGGGTTGCTTCCAGTCTTGCTTCTGCTATAAATCAGTACGAGCATAAGATCTGGGCTCAAGGTCCAGGTGCGTCCTGGAAGCATCTTTCACTTCTGAAGACCAAGTCCTGGCTCTGTGGGAGACAGCAGAAGGCTCTGGTCCTTACACACGGTTAGTTCTGGCTCAGGACTTTAGGGACAGTGGGTTCGTGTTGGGAACGAGGCTTTCTGGCAAACCTGCCTGCTCTGTGACTCGGTTTCCCCTCCCCATGTGCCAACAGCATTCTATTCTACTCTTTCTCATGGTAACTCCCCCTCTGCGGTCTGCTAACACAGCCGAGTTGCAATTTCGATTTGGTCCGGCTGGAAACATTGCTATTAGGAGGCTGATGAATTCGAACCGGGATCTGTATGTTTTTCAGGAGCAAAGAACATAAACATTTCCAGAAAAGCGAGCCCCTCTGATGTTTGCTTGTTGAGCGCCTAACTTCAAAGGCTGTACGGTCATGAGAAACGGTTTGTGTGTTGAACAGAACAAATCTGTGGCTTCTTCCTGTCTGGCCTGAAAAATGCACCGATGAGGTGAGAGAGGTGGGTGGTTCGTTGCAAACCCCGCGGAGGAAATGCTTATAGGATGTCTTTTGTTACACTGTTGGCAGGGCAACACTCGTCCTCTGGCTTTGTAATGGAAATCAGTTATTTTGGGGTTAGTTCCTCGCTTTACATATTGCATCAAAAATCTCGGTAGATTCCTTTGAGTTCGGTTTGCTGAAGTTTAGTCAAGGGTTTGACAAGAGCGTTTCCCCATCTCCCTCCACTTCCTTTAGGTCTGATGTGAATTGGACCTTTCCATTTGGTTGAAAACTTTGCTAGGCTTTGCCTTAACGGCTTCTCTTCTTGGGAGATTCTACCCGCAGCTGGTGGAGAGGAGCTTTTTAGATCAAGTGCTTAACAGGAACAGTTAAGACATAACCAAATCTATCACCTATTCCCAAACTTTCTGGTTAAGGAAACGAATGAGAAGCTTTTACTCTGGGTGTTTGTGAGATCTAAAAAGTTTTGTAAGGGCAAAAACGTCAAACCGATCCCAAGGAAAATGACCTCCAAAATCAAGACGCAGGTTCTGGTTTCTGCCTTACGCTGTCTGGCTCAAGGAGGGGATGTGTACGGAGCAATTACTTTTTCTTATAATTATCCGCCGTGAGAAATTATCGAACGATAACTTTCAGGGTAAACCTCTGGCAAAGAGAGAATGAAACGTTGTGTAACTGCTTCTTACCCACGGTGTTAAAAACATAACGTGCTTGTCAGTACCGTCTTAATTGGGAACAAAAATCAGAATTGGCCTCAAGCGCTGTACTTTGGAGAATGGCCCAAGATGAGTAACCTGCTGCTGCCAGCGGTGTTCCTCCTCCTCTGCTTTTTTTCTGAATCCTTAAGCACACACACGGCTTCGGGCTATAGATACACTTGAACTGGCCCTATTTGCTACCGAGGTCATTGGGGTAAAAAAATGGGCTTTTTGCCCCCCAAATTGTATTTCTTGGGTAATGCAAGAACAGAAGAATATTCTGGCCGTCTCTGAAAATGGTGAAAATATAACTTGCTGATTAAGTAAGGTTGAAGGAAGGGTTGGGGAAAACCTTCCCCCCCCGCCCTTAGACATGTACAAAACATCGGGGGGAAAGAAAGAAATCCTGTAAGTGAACGTACTGAAAATACCGTGGCATCGTATGTGGGTGCCTCTTAAACTCTCAAGATAAGTAATTTTTTCAAGATTTTCATGCAGTCAGTGGCAGATGAAGGAATTAGATCATTACTCTTTCATCTTCCCTAAAGAACAAGACCATCTTCCCCCCACTCCTGATTAAATTTTAAACTTTCATTCTCTGCTTAAGCCTTTCCAGAGTGAAAATGATCAAAGCATGAGATTAAAGACACATCCTGATCTGATGAGATTAGAATTTTTGACTGTTTCCTTATGCTTTAAAAAAAAATAAAAAAAATAAAAAAAAAAAGCAAAGCATCTTTTTGGTATTCCCCCCCCCCCTTATATTTGATCAGAGTGAAGCTAACATGGGCTTGCTGGTCCAGTAGGAAATGGAACTCAATTTTACTTTTTTTTTTTAAACCATTTTACTGTATTAAAAATGACAGAGGTTAGAAACAAAGCTCTTATACTTTTATTGAACTGGAATTAGAAGTGACAGAAAATCATTTTGGTCCTGGTGCAGTAAATGTTATCACTAAAACATGTTCAGGGGAGATTAGGACAGTCTCTCAAGCACAAGAGACAAAAGTTCACAAAACAAGAAGTGATTTTTGCTGTCCTTGTCTCGCAGGCGTTGTCTGCTCAGGAGACAAAAGTATTTCAACTCGCCGGGCTGCTGGGCTTTGGCGGGGGGGGGTCAGGAGGACACAGACCCCTCTCGCAGAGCAGAGGCTGAGCCCAGGGAAGGGACGTTTCTTACTGAATAATATTGAACAACGTTTGGATTCTCAAAGCAAATGCGGAGGGAACGGTCGAGGCTGATTGGAGACAAAAGGACGGGGGCGCCGCTACGGTTCTGCTGACCTTGGGCAGGTGGTGTCACTTCTCTGGGCTTGGGAGATGAGATGGATCGGAGAGAGCTCGTTGTAAAACTGGGGGACCGCTGCCAAGAGCATCCAAAGGCCCAGAGAAATTTGCCGCCCTGACAAAGCACGGCGGTGCGGCTCCTTCCCAACTTATTTATCACCGAGCCCGTTCTCCCAGGAAAGTTTCTTCTGTCTATGCACATTTTCAAATTTTTTTTTTTTTTTTAAATTATTTTGTCCAAAGCAAACAAATATTATGGCCCTAATCAGAATTCTGTTGTTGTTTTCTAATTAATCTGTGTCAGTAGCTTGAATGTTTGTGTTAAATCATTTTCTTCGTGAAAGCTTTTAATGAGGAAACAAATTGATTGGATTTTTATATACTGGATTCTTGCCACTAATGCCTATAGACCAACCCTTTGTTACATGTGAACGGGTCACTCTGTGGTTTATCCCCAATCCTTGATCTGTTTCCAGATCTCGCCAGTGCTGTTCTCTTATTAAAATGACTCAGATATCATCGCAAGATGCTCTCAGGGTGTAAGAGATGAAGAAATCACGGAGGACTTTTTTTTTTTTTTTTTGGCTTGGCCAGAAGTGGGCAGCGTGCATACTGCCCTCTGCAATGCGGCTGCTGGAAGGGAAGGTGTGAGATGAGGTTAAGAAAAGACTCGTAGAATCGTAGAACAGTTTGGGGCGGAAGGGACCTTTAAAAGCCTTTCATTAAGGCTGCAAAGCAAAAGGTCATGTAAACCTCTGTGTTTGGAGAGATGTGTTCTAATGGAAGGAAGTTGGGAGCTTTGGAACTTTTCAAGAGGAGGAGATGTGAAGGAGGTTTATCTGTAGGACTCGTAATTCCTCTTGAAGCTTCTTACACAAAAAGTGTGTTGGCCATTCGCTGGGTTCCTGGCAGCGTAATTTTCCCATCTGTCACTTACTCATCAGGCTGGAACAAATCATTAAGAAAATATTATATGCTTATGTCTTTTTTGTCTTTTTTTTTTTTTTTCTTTCTTGTCTTTTAGGTACCACTTGGAATTTCTGCCCCGAGGTGAGTACAAGCCAGGGGAAGGAGGGGTGAGTTCTTGCTGCTATGAACTTTGGGAATAGGGAAGGGCTGGATGTGTGTGGAGTTTTCTATGCAAAGTCAACAAAAAGAAGAGCTTAAACCGAATCTATAGCTCTGTGTGGCGGTTAGGGGTGGAGAGGAGGGACAAAGCTGTGGTGAGGGCTATAGTAGGAGTTGGGGTTAGTATTCTTAGCAGCAGAAGTCCGTTTCTTCTTACCCCTGAGAGCAAATAACACAAAACTGTGTGGTGCTGACGTAAACCTATTGTCTCGGACAAGCTCAGGGAATTTTTCTGCAAAACTTCTGTCTCCAGAAAGGCTTGAAGTTCAGAAAGGCAGGACATTCCCGTGGGCTATTGACTCCGGAGCAAAGGCTGTTGGGTAACCTCCGGCAAGTTTCCTCCAGTCCCATCGCTTCGTGTTAACCCGAACTGGAAACCGAATCAACCTTCAGGTGTAGACAAACGGTCAGGCTGTAAATTTTTCAGGACCGTGACCATCTCTTGTTCTGTCTGTTAACAAGCTGGGCGATTCTGATTGTGACTTTGATCTTCATTTGCTCAGTGATGGGAGCGATGATTTAAACTTCCCAGGGTGCCGGCAGGTCACAAGCCCTGTCAGTGGCTATTTCTGCGTATTTGGGGCAGTTGATGGATACATGCTTGCTCGGAGCTGACCTGGAGCTCCTTTGACTCCGTATGGCATCGGTGGAGCCCAGCTCCCATTCCTCATTTGGAGCACTGGGTACAACCAGGCTGCAGCCGAGGCACGTGGTTCCGTGGGTTCGTCCTTTTCCCTTAAACGATGGTTGGGATCCGCGAGCACGGACAGAAGGATCTGCCGCTGTTCAAACAAGATGGGAGCTGGGGCCGTAATAAAAATCCTTGTGAGTGTTCCAACTCAGCTAATCCTTCATTTACTCCAGGAATAAATTCCAGTATGTTACCTCCTCGATCAGGGCCCACTTCCAGCACATCCTGTCTGTCTGGCAGCACAGAAATGTCAGAAATGCGGCAGCATTGCAATTCCCACTAGAACAGTGTTATCACATTTTAATATGAGCCTCGGTGCAGCCTCGGTGCTTCTAATTGCTTTCAAACCATTGTTTTCATGCGTTTGGTTGATGAACCCAGCATCTGGCATCATTTGAGAAAGTACAACAGACAGCTGTGTTCAAAATTAAAAAAAAAAAAAAAAGTGAGAGAGGATTAGAACACATAAAAGGGCTCAAAATTAGATTTTTTTAAAAAAAAAATTTTGAAAGTTCATAGAATTTAAAGGGTGGAGGAGGGATGCTTTTGTTCTTTTGAAATATTCTTTGTACAGGTGGAAGCCTAACAGTATTAAGAAGATTGGTTTGTAGAACTGTGTCGAGATTTGTAAATGAATTGCCGAGCTTGCTTAAACGTCTGCTAGGGATTACTGCGCAAGTGTTTGGGTCTTCAGGTGTGTAGGTATCTCTAGGTATCTAAATGTGTCCTTATGTCATCTTGGGAACTAATACTACTTGGAAAAGAAAAAAAAAAAAAAAGCACTAAGGAAACAGGACAACTTGGGAGTGAAAACACGGGCTTGAGAGCCTCAACTCCAGTATATGACACCTTGCTGGGGGAAGGAGAGGGGGTGATGAGAACTTGGTGCGCGTTGAGCGGAAAAGAAGCGGAGAACTATGATGTGGGGCTTGGTTTTAAAGAAAAAATAAAATAAAAAAAATCTTGTGTGTCTGGACATATTGATAAGAGGACTGAAAAAAAAAAAAATAGGTACAAATTAATTAGCTGCTTAGCGGCACTGCCAGTGCTTTTAAATACCAAGCTGATGTGGCAAAGGAAAAGGTGGCTTTGAAGGAGGGATGGGGTTTTTCTCTGTAATACCTAGAAAACAGCTTTTTCTAAAGGGGGTAAGCACAACTAGTGACCACATCTTGAACTCGGAGCCATGCTGAAATCCCTCTGAAGCCCCAAACCTCAGTGATTCCAGTTATTCCAACCTGTTGGTTTCCAGTATTGGCTGAAGCTAATAGGATCAGTCTTGGTGTTTCCCAGCAAGCAGAAATTGATACGGAACAGGAGCGTAGGTCTTGAGGATGATGAGTTGGGTAGACGAGTGGGGTTTCAGAAAGATGTGACTGAAGAGAGTGCAAGATTTGCAGGATGAGTTGCGGTGCCTAATTCACACGCACCAAGCCGTGGTGTTGACTGGAGCGTGTAGCTGCAAAATATTTTTTGCCTTTTTCCTTAGGTGCTCTTTGAGCAGAGCCCCAGGGTGACTCATTTCCTCTTGGAGGGAGGGCTGACTTGCCTATGTGAAGCATTTTATACACTTAATATATTTTACGCCTGCATGCCCTTTCTGTCTTGCAGCAACCTCCCCTTTGCGGAAAGAGAGCAAAGGAAAGTTGGCAAAGAAAATCTAGAGAGGACCTGGGTCAGTTGTAGCCCTCCCCCCAAGTTCCTTTCTGCTGTTTCTGTCTCTTCTCGCAATTCAGCACAGGGAAAATGGTCTGCAACAAGCTTTGGTTTAGAAGAAACGAATGGTCTGAGGGAGCGGCGACAGGCCATTCTGGGGTACTGCAAGGAAATAACGGGAGAGGGAGACAGGAGGAAAGAGATGAACGCTTGGGAAGAGAAGGGAAGGACAGGGAGCAGTGCAAGAGGACGGATTAAAGAAGAAAAAGGTGCACGTGTGGCTAAAGAGCTGCGGGTCAGGGCTGGATGTTTGGCTTTGCTGGAACGGGACTTTGCACTAAATTCTTGTCACCGGTGTGTTCTGGCTTCTCCATTCCCACACGGCATGCGAAGATGGGCAAATGTAAAAAGGCATATGGCTACTGGTAGCAGCGAGTTAGATGAAGTTATTGATGACTGTGCAGTATTTTGAGATTCTCAGGGGCACAGGTTGCTCTCTGCTGGAAGACACGGACCTTTGCAGATGGAGAAAATGGGGTTCAGCCCAACCCAGCCTGGAGCCGACACAGTACTGACCCTCCAAATGCTCCTGGGGGGGTACCAGGTCCTTCCCATTGGGCGAGTGTCTCCTTAGCATGGCATTGCACGGAGAACTTTGAACTTCCATGTGCTCATTCACACTAAAAAAAAACCCCTCACAGTGGATGCGGCTGTGGGCAATAACTTATTACTTTATTTTGAAGGAAACAACCCCAACTAGATGAATAAAACCAGATTTATTTTAATTGAGCTTATGATAACGCTCTTGTTTTTCCATCAAAAATTCATCCCAAATGGTTTTCTCTGAAGTGCTGCGTGCGTATTTGCTGAGTAGTAGAATTCCTTAAAATATTCATAAGTCGTCAAAACATGTGACAGAGAGAGGAAAGTTGTTCTCCTTTATGAAATTTGGGAAAACTGAGGGTTAAGAAATGTACTTCAGGTTCCAAAGCATCTACAGTCGCATCCAGGGGTCCGGATTGAGTGCTGCTCCCAGCCCCGTGCCTTAACCCCAAGAGAATGTCGCCTCCCTAAAGTCTGGAGCAATAAATATAAATGTGTGGCAGGGAGGTGGGGTAAGGGACAAGCTGGGGTAAAACGTGACTTAAAAAATTCGGACCCTTCGTGTTCTGTAAAAGGATTAAGCAGGTTAACAGTGTGGAAAGTCTTAGTAGGCCACTTCTCTCATAGTATATACTATTTAGATGGAGTGCGTATCGTTTTACCTCTATCGTCCCTGCTCGCTTTGGCTCGGATGCCAAGTTCTTCATGGGTCGCCAGTTATTCTCGGGGCTGGATGCGGTAGCAGTGCATGAGGTATGTGTATACCCGAGGCACGCGTGTAGCTTTCTTTCATTAACTGGCATCATACAAAGGCCTCAAGTGTTAGATTTATGAAGTAGCTTTTCTATATAAACCCTCAAATCTATTGAGTTGAACTGAAGCGGAGCTGGGTGGGAGACGGAACTGTGCATTTCCCTAAACCCCTGCTCCCTCGTATTGCATATTTGGTTCATGTAGTTATGACAAGTACAAGTAGCAAATCATTAAAGCAGCAAAAACACCATCTTTACTGTAAAGATCCGCTTTGAAGCTGAGGCGGAGTGTTCCTGAATTAATGGAGTGCACGGTGATTTTACAAAGTTTTATTTATAAAAACCCCTCTTTGCGTTGATGCCAAGAGTCTCCAGCTCAGTGGTAAGCAGGGTTCATAGACAGAAACCTAGCTGAGATTTATGATGTGTTTGAAAACGCAAGGGAAAAAATACGGAATTGACAATATTTGTAACATATTGTTAAAATATCTATTCTATCGCCATGCTTGGAATTCCCCTGCTTTATAAACACGAGTGCCAGCTCCAACCCTTGAAATGTCATAACATGTAGAGACGGAAAGAAAACAAAAAAACTTTTGTTAGAATGCCTTCTCGAGTCCAAGATGTGTTTGGGTGGTGTGTGGAACAGAGTTAATTAATGAAAAATAAAATATACACAAAGGCATATGTTCTTTAACTTAAAAAAAAAAAACCAAAAAGGGAAAAGTTTTAACATCAACAATTCTGACAGCTCCCTTTATCAGCGCCGAAGCTTTGCTTCCTGCAGCCCTTGAGCATGCAGTTCTTTGCCTCTGTGCATGTATTATTTTGGGCAAACTAATCTGCGTAGAGACAGTATTTTTTTTTGCACCGAAATCCCTCCTGTTTCATAGTTTTGCGAACGGAGCAGCTGCACAGCTTTGCTTTTACGTAGACTTATAAATTATTCTGCTACCTAAGGTATTGTGCACAAATTTTGGAGGCAAGCAACGATTATAGGAGGAAACAGAACACTCTGCTTGGAAAAATGTCACAGGGAGGAGGCGTTTGTGCTCTGGGAAGGGCTGCCTGGCGGTGTATTTGCATTTTTATTTACATCTATACATAAAAAAAATCAAGGGGTATATGTAACTTTGAAACTGTTGCCGTTGCATTTTGGGTGTTCAGACCAGAAATTAAGCCTCCCTCTCTCTCCCCGGCTTATCATGAAGCTTTAAAATCTTTTTAAAAACCTGAGAGCCCAGGCCGCGGGCTGCGACAGGGAGTGAGCACCGCTGAACGTGGTTCCGTAGCGGTGAGAAATGGGTTTGACTGGTTGTAAGAGCAGAGGGGTTAAGGGGGAGATGTTTACCCCCGATTGGAATTCATATCGCTGTAGCACGAGGAAATACAAAAGGTGTTTTTGGCATTTTGAAAATGTTAGAGGCTTCTTTTTGGGTGTGTTCATTGTATGAAACCAGGGGAGGAGAAGGGGAAAAGCCTCCAAGAATAAACGTGTCGATTAAAAAAAAAAATCAAAAAAAAATCAGGTGTGCTGTTAATCTTTACTTGGAGCCAGCAAATAAAGAACTTGCAGAATTTCTGATCGGACTGAAGGCAGGTTAACAGCAACTAGCGGTTTAGCTGGGTTATTCTGCAGTTAACGTCAAAACTTTCATGACCTTTATTGAGAAGAATTAGGTTAATGAGGGAGGCTTTTTGAACTCCTTTTAAACCAGCTCATTGATTTAAAACTCCTTCCAAACTTGAGAAAGGTTTCCTGGTTTGGATTACTAGATGCTTCTCGGAGATCTCTCCTTCATTAATCAAAAGTGTTTGAATTACTGAATCACCCGTAGCCCTTTGAAACCCATCCGGATTGTAACACCGTGGGGCAGAGCTTGGCCTCTTTGTTCACATTTAGCAGTGTCCCTGCTTCCCTCCCCGGGGAAGTTCAGAGCGCGCCAGGCTCCTAAGAATAAAGCAATGTACCATAAAGAAGAAGGTATAAAAATGTCAGTAAAGATGCTAAATATACAGCAGTTTGGGGAGCCCCAGTAAGTTAAATATTAACGAGTTCTATTGCTCTCACTTTGGTCAGTTAATAAAATACTCTAATTATTAGATTGTCTAAATTGCCTGATGTGCAGCTTTGGAGGTAGAGAGTCTTCTCAAATGAACCCTCTGTGTTTTCTGAACTTGTTTGAGTAATAGGAATGTGCTGCAGCTTTCTCTCTCTCTTTTTTTTTTTTTTTTTTTTTGACAAAGAAATCCCAGGGGTTGCTGTAACGTTCCTAGATGGACCCGCAGCCCAAGACTTGCTCTGCCTTCATGCACAACAGAAGGTTCAAGAAATCGTCCCGGTGGGGATCGAGCACGAGAGTGTCCACGTATACCTCGCCTGAGCTTTCTCACAGTGGGAAAGAGACCCTCCTGCTCCGCAAAAACGGGGGAAAAGGGTGTAAATTTGGAGTCCTTAGGAGCGTCCTGTTGCGGGGCCTTGAGCCCTCGCTCAGTGGGGCTGGGGGTGCAGCGCCGGGTCCCACTCCTGCCTCTGCCAGACCTTCAGGTGGTGCAGATCTGGAGCTCTGAGCCTGTCTCCCCCCTCTCCCCGCAGTGACTTCTGCGTCGCTTTGGTTCGTAGAGCAGTAACCCCATCCAAATCACCTACGAAATCGTAATTCTGCCCTTGAGTCGCCTCCATCCCGAAACACAACTGTAAAATCATCTTTTGCATCATCAGAAATGCTTCATGGGCATCTCCTTCAGTCCCCAGAGTGCCTATCGCTCTGCTGCACGCTCCTGTCTTTGCATTCACTGTCTGCACTTATTTTAACAGTGAAAATTGCGGCAGATACGGGCAAGACAGCCTCCTTGTGTCTTGTCATTGGAATATGCTCGCTAAACCCCAGCTCCCTTGTGGGTTGGTTCTGTCTATTCCTTGTTCGCTTGGAAGGGTTTCAGCTAAGAAAATACGCTGAACCTACTGATGCTGCAACGGACATTACTCAAAACTACTTGGCCTGTAGCTTCCTTTTTGGTATCGATGATGTTGGCTTTTCTTTTTTTTTTTTTTTTTTTTTCAAGAAGG